CAGTTGTGTGATTCTGCGGTTTTATAGGTAGAGCATTTATAGGTTATGAAAATACCCGAGCTGTAGCCATGATGTGAAGTTCATAAACTTCATGTGTTCATAAACAGATCACTGAAAATGAGTTCATGGAAATAAGTCCTATGATCTCAAAAGGATTGTCCATGTTGATATGATAAGGAGTGAAGGCAGGGCTTACAGTGGACAGAAAGAGTGTGAGGCAGGCATTAACAGATAGGAACAATGAAAGAACGGCTGGTAAAGTAGAAGAAACAGGAGAGGAAGAATGCTTTGAAAGCCAAAAGGAGCAGGTCTTAAAGGAGCTTTGTAGGTTTGCAAAAAGCTGCAGGAAACATGGTTTAGAAATGGCCATCATGGGTATGGAAACTCATTGCCAGACCCTGATATATGAATACTTGCCATTTGAGAAGTGTAGGGGAGGCCATGTCCTCAGAGAAGAGCCCCAGTTATCAGGAGGGAGAAACTCAGAGGAGATATTGAAGACACAGGGGAATTTGCTATTTATAGATGGGCAACAAGAGGTCACAGTGGAGTGGAGAGTGGTGGGAGCAGGTCAGGAACAAGGTAGTAAGTAGTACAGAGCTTTGTGAAGATAATGGTATAGATCGGGGTCCCTGCTGTGTATTTGAGAAGTAGGTGAATTCAAGTTTTCATGTTGACTGAAGGAAACAGATGGAGAAGGCAATGGCACCCCACTCCAGTACTCTTGCCTGGAGAATCCCATGGACAGAGGAGCCTCGTGGGCTGCAGTCCATGGGGTCGCAGAGTCAGACACGACTGAGCGACTCCACTTTCACTTTTTACTTTCATGCATTAGAGAAGGAAATGGGAGCCCACTCCAGTGTTCTTGCCTGGAGAATCCCAGGGACGGTGGAGCCTGGTGGGCTGCCATCTCTGGGATCGCACAGGAGTCGGCCATGACTTGAAGTGACTTAGCAGCAGCAGCAGCAGCAGAAGGAAACAGAAAAGAAGGCAGGAGGATTTATTCCGATCGTCTCTGTGGAGTAGGGCCCTTGCATAGCTATTTAACATCAGCTATAAGTTCACTGAAGATGTATCTCGCTTGGTGAAGTAATTGAGGCTTATATACTGCACACATGCTGAATTATTATTTTAACATATTTTTGCTTTTTATTGTCAGTATATCATTGGGATTATTTTTGCATCTGTTGTTGTTCGGCTACTAAGTCATGTCTGACTCTTTGCGACCCCATGGACTTCAGCACACCAGGCTTCCCTGTCTTTCACTGTCTCCCGGAGTTTGCTTAGATTCATGTCCACTGAATTGATGATGCTATCTAACCATCTCATCCTCTGCCACCCGCTTCTCCTTCTGCCTTCACTCTTTCTCAGCATCAGGGTCTTTTCCAATGAGTCGGCACTTTGCATCAGGTGGCCAAAGTATGGAAGTTTCAACTTCAGTCCTTCCAATGAATAATCAGGATTGATTTCCTTTAGGATTGACTGGTTTGATCTTCTTGCTGTGCAAGGGACTCTCAAGAGTCTTCTCTAGCACCACAACTTGAAAGCATCAATTCTTTGGCACTCAGCCATCTTAATTATCCAACTCTCACATCCGTACATGACCACTGGAAAAACCATAGCTTTAACTACATGGATTTTGTTGGCAAAGTGATATCTCTGTTTTTTAATATGCTGTCTAGTTTTGTCATAGCTTTTCTTCCAAGGAGCAAGCATCTTTTAATTTCATTGCTACAGTAACCATCTGCAGTGATTTTGGAGCCCAAGAAAATAAAATCTGTCACTGTTTCCACATTTTCCCCTACTTCCCCTTTCTGTTTGCCGTGAAGTAATGGGACCAGATACTGCAGTCTTAGTTTTTTGAATGTTGAGTTTTAAGCCAGCTCTTTTATTACTCTACTCTTTCACCTTCATTAAGAGGCTCTTCAGTTTCTCTTTGCTTTCTGCCATTGGAGTGGTATCATCTACGTATTTGAGGTTGTTGATATTTCTCCCCGTAATCTTGATTCCAGTTTGTAAGTCATCCAGCTGAGCACTTTGCCTGATGTACTCTACATCGAAGTTAAATAAGCAGGGTGACAATATACAGCCTTGATGTACTCCTTTCCCAATTTGGAATCAGTCCATTGTTCCATATCCAGTTCTAACTGTTACTTCTTGAACTGCATACAGGTTTCTCAGGAGACAGGTAAAGTGGTCTGGTATTCCGAACTCTTTAAGAAATTTCCAGTTTGTTGTGATGCACACAGTCAAAGGCCTTTGCATAGTCAAAGAAGCAGAAGTAGATGCTTTTCTAGAATTCTCTTGCTTTCTCTATGATCTAATGACTTTTGGCAATTTGATCTCTAGTTCCTTTACATTTTCTAAATCTAGCTTATACATCTGGAAGTTCTCGATTCAAGTACTGCTGAAGCCTAGCTTGAAAGATTTTGAGCATTACCTTGCTAGCATATGAAATGAACACAATTATGTGGTAGTTTGAACATTCTTTGGCATTGCCCTTCTTTGAATTAGAATGAAAACTGACCTTTTCCAGTCCTGTGGCCACTCCTGAGTTTTCCGAATTTGCTGACATACTGGGTGCAGCACTACAACAATATCAGTTTTTAAGATTTTAAATAGCCCAGCTGGAATGCTATCACCTGCCCTAGCTTTGTCTATAGTAATGCTTCCTATAGCCTACTTGACTTCACACTCCAGGATGTCTGGCTCTAGCTGACTGACCACACCATCTTGGTTATCTGGGTCATTAAGACCTTTTTTGTATAGGTCTTCTGTTGTGAATTCTCCACCAGGGAAGCCCCTTGCATCTGATTATTATTATTTATTTAATAATTATATTACAGAGGCATTGGGTTATAATAATTTTCATTCTCTGTGTATCTGTTTTTATGTATATGTGTGTGTATTGTCAGGTTTTAGTATGAGGATTGTGGTAGATTTGTAGAAATGAAGAAGTGTCCATTGTTTTCCATGCTCTGGGACTCTTAGCACAGACATTATCTGTTCTTTGTAAGCTGCGAAGAACTTTGTCATAAAATTCTCTGAATGTGTGCTATCTAATATGGTATAATAAGCACCTGGAATGTGGTTAATATGACTGAGGAACTGAACTTTTAAATTTTATCTTTATTTTAAATTTAATTTCTCATTAAAAATTGATACTTATCTTCAGTGTTGCAGTCTTTTAAGGACAACCGGGTTATGAGTCTATGTTTTGTAGATTATGTAAAGTCAAAATATACAGATGAAGTATTTCTAATGAAAATTTATCAACCAGATTGAAATATATTTTAAATATAAAACATATCTTGGATTTTAAAGACTAAATATGAAAAAAAGTAAAATTAAAAACTTTTATGTTGATTTTATGTTGACATGATAATCTTTTACCATGGCCACCTATATTGATAAATAAAACATGTCATTAAAATTAATTTTACTGTTTTATACTTTTATGCTTTTAGTGTAGGTATTAGAAAACTTAAAATTATTAATGTGGCTTGCATTTGTGACAGGCATTTTATTTCTATTAGACAGCATGATTCTGAACCATGAGCTTTCCTAAACGGTTAGTAAAACTTCTTTAGTTTCTCACAGAATTACTGGTTCATTCAATTTTCCTATATCTCCAGAATAAATTTTGATCATTTTTATTTTCCTAAAAAGTATTTGTTTCAAATGTATGAATGTAGTACTTTACAAATATTTTCTTGCTCCCTCCCTCCCTTTTTTTTGGTAATGGTAAATGGTAGATAAGCTCTGGGATATATTAATAAGTTCTGTTTTTGTGATTTTTAATTAATTTTATATCTGCTTTGATTTATTGATTCAAAAATATTTTTGGAATCAATTTACTTTTTCTTATTTGTAGGAATTACATTTTTCATTTTCTCTTCTGATAAAAATCCCTATTTTTTATAAAAAGATATCATCAAAGAATAGAGAAGTCAGTATTTATTTCTTATTCCACAAACTTTCCTGCACAATATTGTCTTGTGTCTAATTGATTAGAGACATTTTATATAAGTATTTTCAATATTGCATGTTCTATGAAACATTTATTTTCACTAATGTGAAAATATTTCAAAATAATGTTTATTGCATACAACAGGTTATTTTGTTCACATATATTTCATTTTTCCTGTCCTTTCTTGCTTTACAATCCACTTTTGTAGAGAAAGCAATCACACTCTACTTAAAAAGAATAAACAGTAGAAAATAACATATTTAGCATTTAACATGTTCCAGGGATGTGCTAACTTCTTAATTAAAATTAAGAATATTTGATATTCACAGTCACTTTGTGAAGTATGTACTGATGTTAGCCTCAGTTTGCAGATGGGAAAACCAGACCAAGAGGGACTGAGACCCATCCAAGGTTTCTTGGAGTCTATTGCACATGGACTTATAAGCCCCAAGTGAGAAATCATTCTGTTAGTGTTTCATGCACAATACTAGAAAATATGGCAGACCTCTTTACAATGGATGTCTAGCATCAGAACATCAACATAGTTCATGCTAAGACTCTGTTGTCAGGCAGTTATCACATGCAGTTATATTCAGTGTTAATAAACTGCGCTACAATGTACTCCTGTTGTGCTCTGGGCTTGGGTTCCCTATAATAGCCTAACAAAAATCTCTCATTCATTAGCACTGAGGTGCTTTCTGTAAACAGTTGTTTCCCTTAATCATTTCAGGGTGGGGGGTGGAAATAGACATCAATTATCCATTTTTAATACCCTGTATCTTCAAATTAGAATTTTTGAAGTCTTACTTTTATCTATAGAATGGCAGAAAAGGAGAAATTTCACGCAGTTTATTTCTTTGGACAAGCAAAGACAAATCTCTCTCTTTACCCCTAATCTGTATGCCATTTGATGTCAAATACCCTTTAAAATTAGTTCAGCTATGGTATAGTCCCTTAAAAAATTTAGATATTTAATAACAAATGGCTATGGTTCATTCACTTATGATTCTTTTCTTTCTTTCTTTTAAAGATAGTGTTTTTGGAAGAAGCATCCCAACAAGAAAAGCTGGCCAAAGAATGGTGCTTCAAGCCGTGTGAAATAAGAGAACTGAGCCACCAGTAAGTCAGAGTTAACTTCTTCCCTTTTACTTGATGCTATTAACTAGTCTCAAATGCTAAGAACCTGTCTTGAGAGACAGAGAGGTCTTTCTCTTTTTTTGAGTATGAAATGGGCAAGAGAAGTTAGCTAGAGAACATGGAGCTGAAAGATGGAAACTTTGAGAACTAGAGGCTGCCATCATTCATTTACTTCTTCAGCAAATATTTATTGTATTTATTACGTGCAAGAATAGGATCTGGAGGTGAAAATGATATACAGAGTATTGGTCCTTACTGGGCTTATGGCCCATGGTGAAGAGAGAGCATAAACAAGTGCACAGATAGGTAAGCATGACAGTGATGCCTTCTGTAAAGGAAGTGATTAGGGAGCATGATAGAGATAAACTAGTGGGAGGTGAGAGGAGGTTTAGGGAGGAAAAACTCTGACAGCGTGCATAAGGAAGTTGTTATTCAATCTCTCAGTAATGTCTAACTCTTTGTGATCGCTTGGACTGTAGCACACCAGGCCTCCCTGTTCTTCACCATCTCCCAGAGTTTGCTCTAACTCATGTCCATTGAGTTGGTGATGGCATCCAGCCATCTCATCCTTTGTCATCCCCTTCTCCTCCGGCCTTCAGTCTTTCTGAGCATTAGCATCTTTTCCAATGAGTCAGTGCTTCACATCAGGTGGCCAAATTATTGGAGCTTCAGCTTTAGCATCAGTCCTTCCAATGTATATTCAGGGTTGATCTCCTTTAGGATTGACTAGTTTGATCTCATTGCAATCCAAGAGACTCTCAAGAGTCTTCTCCAGCACCACAGCTTAAAAGCATCAATTCTTTGGTACTCAGCCTTCTTTATAGCCCAATTCTCACACCTGTACATAACTACTGGAAAAACCATAGCTTTGCCTATATAGACCTATCTCCAAAAGATCACTTAAGCTATGATTTTATGTTTCAACTACTTTAGAGGTACAGGGCTTCCCAGGTGGCTCAGTGGTAAAGGATCCACCGGCCAATGCAGGAGGCATGGGTTCGATCCCTGATCTGGGAAGATCCCCTGGAGAAGGAAATGGCAACACACTCCAGTATTCTTTCCTGAGAACCCCATGGATAGGAGAGCCTGGAGAGCTACAGTCCATGGAGGTCGCAAAGTGTCAGATACAACTTAGCAACTGAACAACAAAACCATTTGTACCAAATGTGTTTCCTGTGATTGGCCCACCCTGTTTATAGACTGGGTGATTTATCTTATAGAAATGGGCATATACCCTAATCAGGAAATCTTGATAAGCCATTCGTCCAACCCCACCCACAGGGAGGAACTGCCACATAAAGAGGAATCACAAACTTCCAGCATACAGAAAGACCACCCCAAACACAGCAATCTAAACAAGATGAAAAGGCAGAGAAGTATTGAGCAGGTAAAGGAACATGATAGTAAAAATGATCCAAAATCTTGAAAACAAAATGGAGTTACAGATAAATAGTCTGGAGACAAGGATTGAGAAGATGAAAGAAATGTTTAACAAGGACCTAGAAGAAATAAAAAAGAGTCAATATATAATGAATAATGCAATAACTGAGATCAAAAACACTCTGGAGGGAACCAACAGTAGTATAATAGAGGCAGAAGATAGGATAACTGAGGTGGAAGATAGAATGGTGGAAATAAATGAAGCAGAGAGTAAAAAAGAATGAAAAGAAATGAGGACAACCTCAGAGACTTCTGGTACAATGTTAAATGCCCCAACATTCGAATCATAGGAGTCCCAGAAGAAGAAGACAAAAAGAAAGGCCATGAGAAAATACTTGAGGAAGTAATAGTTGAAAACTTCTCTAAAATGGGGAAGGAAATTTATCCACCCAAGTCCAAGAAACCCAGAGAGTCCCAAAAGGATAAACCTAAGGCAAAACACCCCAAGACACATAGTAATCAAATCAACAAAGATCAAACACAAAGAACAAATATTAAAAGCAGGAAGGGAAAAAGAACAAATAACACACAAGGGGATTCCCATAAGGATAACAGCTGATCTTTCAATAGAAACTCTTCAGGCCAGAAGGGAATGGCAGGACATACTTGGGGTGATGAAAGAGAAAAACCTACAACCCAGATTACTGTACTCAGCAAGGATCTCATTCAAATATGAAGGAGAAATCAAAAGCTTTACAGACAAGCAGAAGCTGAGAGAGAATTCAGCACCACCAAACCAGCTCTTCAACAAATACTAAAGGATCTTCTCTAGACAGGAAACACAGAAAGGTGGTATAAACGTGAACCCCAAACAACAAAATAAATGGCAACGGGACCATACCTATCAATAATTACCTTAAATGTAAATGGGTTGAATGCCCCAACCAAAAGACAAAGGCTGGC